GAGATCCACTTGCCTTCATGGTTTGCTCCAGTAGTTCATCAACTTTGCTCCTGAGAACCTGCACCTCAACTTCAGCCCTTTGGGACACTGCATTTTCTTCCCTGAAGATTTTTTTTTTAGGTGAAATGTTTATTTAATTAAAAAAAAAAAAAAAAAAAAGGAAAATACTGAACTGAGGAAAATATGAAACAACCTGACAGAGCCACTGCTGCCTCACTGAGGTATCATAAAAAAAGAGGCAGCAATTGCTGGTAATGTCAGCAGAAACTCGAAAATCAGACAAACCCCTCAATCATCACAGGAGGCATCGAGCCAAGGAAAACACAAATATCAACGTGTTTCTTTATGTCTTGAGAACTTCCAAAATCACAAGGGAAAAACTGAATAACTTGCATGATGCCTCAAGTTGAATGGCTGAACAGGGATGGGCTGTTGTGTGACTCCAACACGAGTGCTTTTGGCCCCCAGCTGATGAAAAGGCAGGACCTTTGACCAGAGACAACCAGACCTTGAGTGCTCTGGTACCTCCCAGCACCCTCCTTCAAGAGAGGAGCCCCTGTCAGGACCTGTCCTAACCAGTGGGAGCCAAGGCTGGCCCAAGGCACAGCCCCCACGAGGGTCTGACCACCCAAAACCAGACGAGAGCAGGAGGTGGATCAGCTGATGGAGTGCCAGTGTGGGGCTGGCACCATGAGAGGACAGAGACACAGCACATAAGGGTTTGTGCCAATGGGAGTGTTTGTGTGCACGGGGGTGTGTGAGAAAGAAAGGAGGTGTGAGAGGAGGATGAGGAGTGACTTCATTTCAGAGCATGAACCAGCACGTACTGGTGAGTGGAAGAGCCTTGGAGAGAGCCAGGAGCCCATCAAATGGCATAAGAGTATGGAAGTGACACAGACAAACCAAAAATTACCACAGAGCCCCTGAGAAAAACAGAACCACCCATCTGTTTTCTCCAAACTGTATTTTAGGAAAGTATTGGAAACTTACTTGAAGCGTATTTGTCTTCCCACCCAGCTCTTACTATGTTATGGCTACATCCATGCAACTCCCTCTGTTATCCTTACTAAGATTTAAGAAATTTACCACATCATTTTTAAGGACAGTACCAATATTTTCATAGTTACTAAATTCGAGCCTTTCTAAATATTAGAACTTTGTCATAACTCTGATGCCAATTAGGCCTAATTACAGATATCTTAGAAATTTGGAGTTGATCTAATTAGGCAGATCAAGTGATGTAACCTTCCTCTTTGACTACTGGATGAAATGGTATTTCTTATTACTTCCTGGATGTCAAAAGCTAAGGTTAAAATGCCTTAGACATAACATACTTTAAATGTGAGGAAAAAAAGTGATATTTCTGTGATCATTCATCAGATTCCTGCTATTGTGAAATTTCACATCTCTCAAGAGCTGGGGCAGAAATCCCCCTCTCCAGGCAGGCCCTCAATTCCCCTCTCAATTTGTCTTCCAGGGAGAACTGAGTACAGCTACAAGAGGTGAATCTGTAGAAACTTAAAGGGAGAAGAGTCAGATCTTCTTCTTTCTTTAAACACACCTTTCTTGACTTGGAAAGGACTCTAAATTACATTTAGGCCCCTTTGCTATGATTTTATTTTATCTTTAATTTATTTTGCTTATTTTTTCCTAGCTACTTTTTCAGGATCTGTAATTTCACTGTCAATGGCTTAGCAGCAAACAGGTCCAGTTCCAAAAAGGGGCACTCAATGAACCTTTGCACATGGAATGTGGCTCACTGTCCCACTTGGACCAGCACAGCCCAGGAATGGACCAGGACCATCATACATATTGTAATATGATAACATATAAACTATACCAATAATCATGTATTATAAAATATATTAATACTATTAATTAGTATTACCAAAATCTTTCATTGACACTCTGGTACCTGAGAGATTGCAGCCTCAAAAGAAGATTGCACATGCTATCTGCATAAGTACAGAACAGGGTAAATACAGGTTTGGGTACATCTGAGCCAACCACTGCACACTAGTAGAAAAACATTATTGTCCAACAGCACAGAGCAAACAACACAGACCTCAGCCACCAAATGAAAATTCTTTGGGTGGAAAAGGGCTGCTTTCCTACATGTGGACATGACATACAATTCAATTTCAGCATCAATGTGGCTGGACATGATTTACAGAGACTTGTAAATAATTTATTCCAGCTCTGAAAGGGAGAGCTGGATACTCATTTGAGGTTCCTTGCAGCCCGGATGATGTCATGATTAACTGACTTAGGATCTTTTTAATAATTCCAGCAAATTTCAACTCTCCCGTGTTAAAGATCTGCTGAAGAGCTTTTATTCAGATGAAAGGCTCTTTTCTGAGAACATTATAAGGTGCACACATAGATTTAACATCCACAAATCAATGCACTTGAAATAAAATAAGCTTTTAAAGTTTCTTTTTCACTTTCTTCCCTGATTTGGGGGTTTAGTGCTTTTATTTATCTAGCCAATTTTACCCCAGGCAGTTAAGACAGCTGCATGAAAAAGGGCTGTTTTTCTGTTAAAAGTGCTTTTAGTACTTTGGCATCCTGAAATGGAATGGCAGAAAAATGCAAAATATAGCTACTACAATCCAGTACATTTCATGTGACATGCCAAGTTTTTCACTCTATGCTAGAGAAAAATCTATTAGCTGGTGAGATCAAGTGTTGGCTGTCCAACATGGTTCAGCATTACAGTGCAGGAGGGATCAAAGCAGATTTTAACCCTGCTCCTAAATAATGTCAGAGAAAAACGTTTTGGTACAAACAGTTTAAAGCTATTTATACTTATATAGCTTAATTCCTATTTAAATACTTTCTTATCAATAATTGAGAACGTTTCCCATCATTTAGGCTCCTGGATCCTGTATATCTGCTGCTCAAGTCAGTGAACCGCCCTTCACTCCCTTCAGCAGAAATGGAACAGGCACTTTAATGATTTGCACAGCAATGGCCTAAATTTTTTAGAAGCTTCACATCCTAGTATGTTACACCAGACCTGGTAGGAATTGCAGGTGCTGCACTAGTGGGTGGCTAAGGACAGAACCAAAACTCAGATTCAAATCTTCTAATTATCAGCCTGCCCTTGGAAGCTAAGGAATGCACAACCAGAAGGCAACCCACGTGTAGCCTGCTAAACACACATATATTCATAATTGAATTCAGCTATGTCCGAAAAAGAAAGAAGATCTATTTTCTTTATATGGGCCCAGGTTCATAATCCAATTATTTCAATTTTCTAAAACTTTCTAGATTGACTATTAAGTCAAGTTTAAAAACTTCACAGCTTCCACTCCCATTAGAAAGAATTTACTCACCAAACTGTGAGGCTCAGACAATGGTTAACAGTTTGAGACACTAATTGGCCATATTTAATGGATTTAATTTGAAACAGCCATGCGAATATGCATAACTATTAACTCTGACCAGCTTTACCCTCCTTGGGACCTACACCAGCTCCCATTAACAGTGGGATCCGGATCAAGACCACAGCTTTAATTCTTCCTGAACCTCTTCAGCAGCACAAATTAACCCTCACAGGTGGCTTCAATGCCACAACCAGAGGGGTGACAGAGAGTGGGAATCCCAGCGAATTGTCCTACTGCTCCAGCAAACCTCAGAGCGTTAAAACTTTCCTCCCCAACACCCCTTTGCTCAGGAAGAGAACTGCACACCTAAGGTGACAAAGCAGGGCACGTCTCTCCCAGCACGAAATTCCCACAGCAAAAACTCAATGAAGGTGACAAGAACCCATCACACCACTTGGCTCTTACGCTGCATTTTGCTTCCTCAGAGACCTGGACAGACATTAATTTGATTTACTAAGTCGGTGTTTTCCTGAGGGCTGTGCTATCAAGCCCATCACTGCCAGGCTGCTGACCCATGTCCATGTTAAACCACCAGCCTGATTCCTACTCACCGCCTGTTTATAGGAAACCAGCGAGCCCACGAACCAGAAATATTCTGTTTATAGGGAGCCCTCCCTTGGAAGCAGAAAGAAACTCAAATATTACAGTCAAAACTTGTTCAACTGTGTTTTGGAGCGTAGGAAAAGCACTACTCGGGATTAACAGCGCTTCGTTTTGAGACGCGCTTGAAGTTTCAATTAAAGCGGTGGGAACACAGCTACGAGGAGCACTCGCAATCCAACCCAACTCTAATTACAATGTATTCACACACAGCAGCCCGTGCGCTGCCTCCTTCTGCACTCCCGGCTCCCTACCTTTATAATATTCTGAGCGCAAAAATTAGTTTTAACAAAAATGAAACTCTTTGCCCGGCCAAAAAGGCACCAGCCTGTACCCCGCTCCCTTGCACCATCTGTGCGTGTTTTTCTTGAGCCTTCAAAAAAAACCAACAAAAAAACCCCAACAAACAGCTCTAACGTTTTACTAATCTTTATGCCCCGCCACTATAAATAAAACAAATAAAGCCCAACAACAGTTAAGCATCGTAGCTAAAACACATCCAATCCACTCCGATTATTTCTGCTCTCCTGTCCACAAATAGCTGCAGCCATCGTCTTTAGGGGAAGCGTGCAAGTCAGACCGCATTTATTTACAGTTGCACTTGGAAGAAAAAACCTTCCCCTGTCTCCTCGTTCTATGAATATTTTAAAACACTTGGGATTTTTCCTTTTTATCGCTTTTTTGGAGGATATGGAAGGAGGGTGAGGGGTGATGCTAGCCCAGCACCTGCCCCACAATTCTGTTTTTCTCGGTGTTCCCAGGTCGCTCCGACTTCTCGCTCGGATGGATGCGCGGGGTGCGGAGCAGCACCGGGGGTGCGCAAATCCCCGCACAGAGACCCGCGCAAATTCCCGACCCGCGCAGAGACCTGCACAGAGACCCGCACAAATCCTCACGCAAAGACCCGTGCAGAGACCAGCACAAATCCCCGCACGGGGACCCGCACCGCTCCCGGGGAAGGGACAGCGCCCGCGCCCGCCGCCGGCCCCGCAGCCGAACCCCGCCACCTACGTCCCCAGTGTCTCCTTGAACTCGAAGATCTTCTTGATGTCCTCCGCCTGCTTCTTCCAGGAGCCGCCGCCGTCCCCGTTCTCCCGGGCCATGGCCGCAGCCCCGCGGATGCCGCGCCGCCGGCTCCGAGCCCTCGGGCGGCTTTTGCTTTCTTTTCTGCCGCGGCGGTAGCGGCTGCTGCTGTTTCTTCTTCTTCTTTTTCCTCCTCCTCCGCCTCCTTCTTCTCCCCTTCCTCCTCCTCCTCCTCACACTTCCTGCCCGCCGCCGCTTTTATTTCCTCCGCGCTCCGGCGGGCTCCGCGAGTGTCACTTTTCCTGGGCTATTTCCTCCCAACTTTCTCTTCCCCCACCCTTCCCTCCCCTTCTCTCCCCTCCTCCTGCGCTCCCCCCGCGGAGCCGCTGCCGGGGCTGCCCCGTCTCTCCGTCCTCCTGCGCCCCGCGCAGCAGCTGCGCGCACCCGAGTCCCGGGGTCACTTTGCTCCCTGACTGACCCACCCTGTCGAAAAGTCCCTCCTTTTTTTGCTTGTTTGTTTGTTTTTCTTTTCTTTCTTTCTCTCTCTTTTTCTTTTTTTTTTTTTCTTTTTTTTTTTTTTTTTTTTTTTTTTTTTTTTTTTTTTTTTTTTTTTTCTAGAGGGAGGTCACTGTTTATCTTCCCCCACCCCTGTGCGGGGCCCCATGGGATGCTCAGCCTGCCGGGCGCGGTGCGGTGCGGAGCGGCCCCGCGGGCGCAGCGGCTGTGCGTGGTTGTTATGGCAATGGGAGGAGGAGGAGGAGGAGGAGGAGGAAGAGGAGAAAGCGGAGGAGGAGGAGGAAGAAGGAGGAGGCAGCCCCACCGCTGCTCTGCTGCCTGGCGCTGCCCCTCCTGACTGAATGAAGATAATTCGCATTGCACCAAAACCACGCACGTCAAACGGGAGGGGAGGGAAAGCAGCGAGGGGAAAAAAAAAATTAAAAAGGAAAGCCAGGAAGAAAAAAAAAAAAAAAAAAGGAAAATTAAAAAGGCACACCACAAGCGGCCGTGCTGCCTGGACGGGCTCTGCGCGGGGATGCGCGGGGGCGGCGGTGCCCACCTGCCTCTCACACACAGTCTGGGATGTAAAAACTCATCCCTCAGCAAGGACCACCCTCACCCAGCACAGCCCTAGAGGCAAGGGGCAGCCTAAGAGGGCTCAGGGGGTCCCGGGGCCGCTGGTGGGCACCGCGTAGCCCCGGGCAGGGGTCCAGCCCTGGCACCGCGCCCACCCCGCCGGCACCGCCGTCCGAGCCCGGCACGGCATCGGCCCCTCACGCTGTCACACACACGCGTGGCTGGCATCATTGCTAAAAGCAGCTTTTTCCCAGCGACGCTGAGACCTCTAGCGTCGTCACATCGGGCATGGGCTGAGCTCTGATGCGGGGTGACAGGATTCGTCAGACATCAGAGAAAACGATCGTCTACACTAACTGAGACATGTTTATAGCTAAGATCTTTGGGCTTCAGTTTTAGAATACGTAAGGCACTAAAAAAGTGAAATTCTTCTGGGACACCCGAGGTAGGCGACCAAATCAGAAGCTTTGCTGTTGACAATACAGGCACTCAGATGCCTCAGTCCCAAACCTGACCAACTCCAAACCTGATCATCAAATCAGGACCTGAAAATAAATTCAAATACAAGGAGCTAAATAACATTTACTTTAAAACAAACGTGACAGTATGCACTTTACTGTTTCACATGTATTGTGTCTTTTAACAGATTCCTTAAAAGTCTATTCTGGAAGCTGATTTTCCAGATTTCTTATAATTTATGAGCAGAATTTGCACAGTATCAGCCTATGAGGCTCTCCCTGAGTCTGGGCTCGGTGGGAACAGAGAGAGCTGTGCCTCTCATCTCAAAGGGGCTGTGGCAGACTTGGGCATTTGTAGGTGGGTGAAAGTGTAAACCTGGGGTACAGGTTGGGGTGTTTGGTCAATGCTACCCTCTGCTGGGCAGAGCCACTCGGCTTTGTGTGTGCCAGCTCCTGGGGTTGATTACTGCACCCCTCTGATGCTTTGGCAGCTCTCCAGCCTCATGGACAGCCCAAACATCTTGGGATTTCCTACCATGGATGTTTGTGTGCTGTCACAGCATGGAACGGGTTTCCTTCTGCTCCTGACTTACTTCCACCTTCTCACCACCACCCTCAGAATTTACATTCTACTCCACTCCATGGGAGTGTCACCAGGAGTCCCCAGGCAGCCTCACAACCCCACTGCATACCTGGAAAATGAAAGATGTGACTGACCTAAAAACATGCAGCTGACTACCAAATCCAAGTTGCCCTTCAAACAGCACCACTGTGACATTTTCTCTCTCTTTCACAAGTAAATCACATGGTGTTAGAAATGCCATGCTCCTGCCTTCAGAAGATTGAGAGAGTGTGAAGCCAGGAAGGGCAAGTGTGATGCTCTGCCCTGACCTCCAGCATGGTGGAGACCAAAGAGAAGATGATCATCCAGATGAGCATCGTAATTTACCTTGAAGCTATGGCATCCAAAAATCATCTACCACTTTTATTTATGACACCCCATTGGTCCCTATGGCACCACATTAAAATCTCACTGCACAGACAGTGTCATCCACTTCTCCATTTTGGCTTTCAGCAAGCAAAAATTTTACTTAAAATTGCTCAAATCCTTGCCAATGCTGTAATTTCTCAGCATCAAAATTGTGTAAAATCTAAATTCTATTTTCCGTATTTAGCCTACATCTTTAGTATCCCATTCATGTGCTTTTTTCTTTTTTAATGATGAAATAACTCACATTTGAAGTAACTGATAATATAGAAGTCTCTGGAGCCATTACATTTTTAATGAGAAGTGTAGGAGATGTTTCTTTTAGGCAGGGACCACTGACACAATAGACCATAAAAGCCCCTTCAAAGTCATTACAGTCTGTCATGTCAGCCTGAATTTAGGGAGTCTGTAATCCTGCTTTGACTGACAGGCTCCTGCAGAGATATTGTAGCTATTTGAAGAACAGGTATTTCTAAAAAATTAAAATCTTAGGTGGAAAGTTCTCTCTGGAGTGGCTGGAAGTAGCGGGGTGTGCTGCAGCTGAGGGATCTGCACGGCTGCATTCAATGTTTAATTACACACAACCCAATTACGAGAACAGCAATAGAGAGGTAAAATGAAATGCACAGAAATGCCAGCATTAAGACTGACAATGAAACATCAACTCAAGGCCTTTTAGTGGCTGCACAGAGGCCATGTCTCCTCACTTGGGCATGCTCTGCAGCTCTGCCAAGGGCTGTATCAGAACATGGCTAATGAGCAGGCGTGGCTGATGTGTATTTGACACAGCTACACAAGCTGCACATGCACCCAGCCACTCCACACAGCAAAACTCCAAACCTTTACACTGCAGATGGACGAGTTCCAACTGGCTTTTAAGGCCTTCTCTGGAAATACTGTCAATTTAAGGGAAAAATTCAAAATAGACTGCTATGTGAGAGATTTTATTTCAGGATAAAGTGATAGGATTTTTGGAGTAATATTTGAAACTGTATTTTTACTGCTTGGCCCTTCCAACTGATGTTGGGGCTGGTCATGTATGGTATGGCTGCACTTGGCCATGTTCACTGATGACCCTTAATATGGGCACTGTGCAAATCAGTTTATCATGAGCATAAATAAAGGAGTCATGTCTGTTTTCCAAGCTTTTCCACTGGCAACCTGGTTTTCTTGTGCTTAAACACCATAATATCAGACCTCTTTCCTAGCTTAGTTTCTGAGTCATGCAATATAATCTCCCTTTCCAATTACAAATCAGCACTATTGATGCTTTTCTGCAAGAACATCAGAAAAGTGAGGCTGTGCCTCAGCTGCTGAGGTCCAAGCCCAGGAGATGAGCACCCACATGGCCATTGTTGGATCTCAGGAGTCTGGAGTTTTTGGGCTTTCTGTGATTCCGGGCATGGACACCCTAGAGGGCACTGCAGTGGACCTGAAACCTTGGAGAAGACTTGTAAATATGAATAAGTTAGAAATCACAAATGTGTAGTGGGTTAGATGTGTGTGTTTTCACTGGGTAATGAGTTATAAATTTGAGGTTTTTATGTATAGTGGTAGTTAGGGGACAAGATGGAGAATTTTGGGTGGTGTCTTTTCCTCTTGTTCATCTTCTCTTCCTTCTTCACAGAACTTAGGTAGTTACCTTTAGATTGGTCAGTTGAAAGTCACTCTAAGGGTCATGGGAATCTATTATTGGGTCAAAAGTATAAATAATATAGGTGTAAAACTTTTATTGGTGTGTTTAGCTTTAAAAGGCCTTGAAGCAGTCTCAGCTGTAGTCATTTTTCCTACTTCTAGCAAGCAGCTAGAGGTACTGTTGTACTTTCTGTAAATTTTTATAAGATATAATAAACATCCAAGTGTGAACATGAGAAACTGTCTCGATCACCTTTCTAGTAATCCTGGCTCTGAACAAAAACAGACAAGACTGATGACAAACCACAACCCAGCCCACTCCCACAGTCCATGGCCATGCTTAGGGTTAAAACATCACATTCAAGCTCTGGAGCAGCATCAGTGTAAAGCAACCAGCACTCAAGCCCACAGCTGTTCCCTGCTGCCTTCACTACCACGTACCAACCTCAGATAGTGGCTTTTCTGCTTATGACAGAAAAAATTTGGGCCAATCCCAGTGAGAAGGTGGATTATTGGTGTCACACTCACATAGGAAGAGCCAGGATTTTTAGTGCTGGCCTGCTCCCACAGGCAGGGATAACAACACTGTCATACACGAGTGTAGTCCTTGGTGAGAAACTCAAAGCAAAATCACATCTTGGATGCTTCATTGCCTCTGAGACAAGCCTGACATGAAGTAAAATCCTAGGGCAAGGCATCTTCAAATTTGGCAGCACAGGTCTTAATTTTTTGGGATGCTAGGTCTGACTAGCATGGTAATAATTCCATCCAAACTCACAGCATTTCTTGGCATTTCAAATGGTGGGAATGCTGCAGCTCCAGCTTGTGCCCCATTTGGAAATCTGGAGGAAATCCTCTTGGGTATTACGCTTAGTCATGAGAAAATAAAATTATGACAAGATTTGCTTGCATAAAAGAGAGAGACAAAATTGCTTCTCTT